CCTGCGTGTGCTTGCGACGGTCCCCCGTCTCTGCAGCTTCCTGACTTGGGTTGCTTCATAACTGTGCCCCCCGGGGTGGCCTCCTTAGCCCCTGAAACTCTGGTTGAAGAGGGTGTTTCACCTGCGAAATTATCCTTTCTCTGCCGGCTCATATGATTGTCCTGTTACTTTCTGAGAACTCACAGGATGCTGGTTGCATAAGACTCTTTTACTTGGAACAATGAAAAAACGTTTGGTCTGTTAAGCCCTCATCAGTCAATGTCACAAAATCTTCCGCCTGTGATGTCGCTGTGTTCACAGGTAAGGCAGACTGCCCTCACTATGCCAAAGCTGAGCTCCTGGCTGACTATCTCCAGGCTAACTTGCCAGACTTCAGGGTTCACAAGATCACTCAGCACCCCGACAAATGGGAGGTAAGAGGTTGCAGATCAAGTCGTTGGTAAATACCTCAGTGCTCTACAAAGCAACAAATATGCTTAGCTGTAGTATGTCTCTTCTCCTGAATTAGTGTTTTGAGATGTGATAGAGGTGCTGAAGAAGCAGCTTTGTTTCTGAGGGCCGGCCAGAGTAAAGATTGGAATGTTGTGAGACTGGCATTCTCGTGAGACTTACCGCAGAAGATAGGCACAGAGCGTGGGCCAGCCTAAAGCTGTTTTGTCAGCAAGATGTTCAAGTTTATTATTTTTTTATTATGTATAAATGCCTGCTTAGCCTATAAATCTTTTGCACACTGTGATTGCATATGTCTTCAGAGCTGTTACTTGTCAAGAGCATTTCTGGCATTCAGGGGCTTTGAATTAGAATGGAAGTATGACATTAAATCTCACATATTTGTTCACAATGTGAATGGGCCTTTCTGAGTACTTTTGCTGTAACCATGTTGCCATATCTACACTGTAGTCCCTGTAAGGAATGGAAAAACTGTAGTATTACTTCATGAGACAGCCAGTACTGTGATGTTTATTACCTCTTGTATTTTGTTTGATACTTCAGCCAAGTAGCTCAGTTAAGCAAACGGCTGTTAACCTCTGAGGCTTACTTACCTTCTGCGGTTAAATAGGAATCCTCAGATTACTCGCTGCTTCACAACATTGCTGTCTTCATTACCACTAAGACAACTGATCAAAGTTACAGCAGTAGAATCAAGCAGAAGTAAGACCTTTTGCTCTTTTGCTGAGGTATCACAGTGTATCGTCATGCCTTGCTTTGTGTTAATCCCTTATTTTGTGCATGTTGGTATGTAAGCTGTGGAGCACCTTGTAATTACGTATTGAGAGGAAATAATATGAATGTTTATAGCTGCAATATTTAAGTGTTACCAAATGTGAAAAAGTATTAAAACCTTTTGGTGGGGATGTTTATGTTAGCAGTGGCTTCATGAGATTTGTGAAAGAAATGGATGGGAACACAAAGAGTCTCCTATTGTTTGGAGAGAACTGTTGGATCTTGGAGGGAAGGGTCTGCTTCTGGGAGGACTTAATGATTTTCTGCAATATGCTGAGGTAATGAGCTGCCTTTAATACTGTAAACCTGTATTTTACATTTTCTTATAACATTGTTGTTCTTTATTTCTCCTTCAAATGTGAAATAAAGCTATCCTTTCTAATGTTACCTGGCTGTGTTTGGGTTGTCATCTGATTAGAGACCCTGCTTTTTGTTCTTAGCACTATTACAGCATCCCCTCAATGATGTCAAGTGAGGAAATGTTAGACATTGCTGAGGAGAACCTGCAGGCACATATTGAAATTGAAAAAGAGGAGGAAGAGATTAAAAGTCTAATCAAGCCTTTGCAGATCTGGATCACCAGGTGAGAGTAAAAATAATACCAATGAAGTTTCACTCAGCTTCAGAAGAATGCACTTTTTTCTATCAGGTATAATAGATGTAACTATCTGAAGTTATACACAAATCACTGTAATTTTTTAAAATAGGTTCTGCGCCACTCACTATGAACATTCAATATATAATTTAGAAATTATTTCTGCTTTTGTTACATTTTGCAGCAGTTTAAGTAAGAGATGTGAACAGGCAACATTCAGACCCCAGATCCCCTTAAGGAACAGCAAGTATTTGCAAAATAAAAAGTATTTACAACATTAAGAAAGGATTTGTGTATAACTTGTGTATATACACAAGGATTTGTGTATAACTTTTTTAACAAAATAAGCTCAGAAATTTGTAGTGCAACTATCTTGCATTAAATGTTTTTGGAAATATTTAAATAAGTAAAGTTCTTGCAGTTCTAGCTTTAGTAGTTTCTGTATTTCTGGTAGTCCTAACAGAGCACCTTAAAAAAGTTTTTGGTTCTGTAAAGGCAATTTTTAAGTGATAGTATTAACTGAAATGTATAGGATGGAAAAACCTTCAACTTGGTGGTGGACCCAACCGTTTTAATTTTTAGCCCGTTAAAATGACAAAATGATCAATAAAGGATCCAGAATAATGGTCTATTTAAAGATAATAAAATACAAAATAATTATCTTTTTGTTTATTTATGCAGTACTTCCAAACAAGCAGTGGTTAGTCATTAACTGTGATTTTTCTATATCCTTATCAGTGCATCAACTCCAGTCTGTTATCATCTGATCCCTCTGTTGGCAAATGGAGAAGTGTTTGGGATGACCACAGAAATCAGTATCCATTTGCTTGATGCTGACCAGTTTAAGGAAGTTCTTTGCAGTATTGTATTGGAAGTTGAAGACATGGCCTTCCCACTCCTCCGCAGTATTTCAGAGCACACGGACATAGATGAGGCTTTTATTCAAGCTGATATTATCATTGTTCTTGATGATGTCCTCTTAAACCTTGAAGTCAAATCCCTCGAGAACTACATCAGAGAAGTGAGTGAGATATGTCAAGTTTATGCTCCCCTGATTGAGAAGAATGCCAAGAGTGAGGTCAGAGTAATTTCATCAGGAAAGACCTTTGTAAACCTTAAGGCGATGATGATTATGACATACGGTTCATCAATTAAGCCTGAAAATGTTATTGCTGTTGCAACATCCTGGGAAAGTGCAGCTAAAGCCGTGCTGGCCAGGAAGCTGAATATGAATGCAGGAGGTGAATATTTACGTTTTCTAGTAGCGTTTGGGGAATTCAGTGGCTGTACATATTTCATTGCAGAACACAGTTGATGTGTGTGCAGAAATGCAAGCACAGCAGTGCACCCACTGAATTGCATGGCTGTACAGAATGCCAGGGTGTGACTAGCGAGTGCTGCCCTTCTCTGTGCTTACCACTATCTGGATCTGTGCCTGATCCCATGAATATCAATTTTTCTGACTCTTGGACGCAACCCTGCCATTCTGGTGTGTGCTTTATGCTGGAAATATACTAAAAAGGACGGAGCTGTGCTGTAGATCAAGACCTAGGGCTTCAAGATTGCATTTACACTCTGCAGCACATTGTGATTTTGGAGACACACAAACTAGCTGTGAATAGACATGACAACATACTGCTGTGCAGATAGAGAGTATAGTAGATCTGTGTTGTATTTCTGGGTTAATTAGCTAGCTTTCTCAGGTCAATTGTTATAGCTTGGTTATATTTGCGTGGTTCTGCACTGCACAGAAAAGATGTGCTCCAACAGCCCACTCAGCAACAGGATTCTTTCAGTGTTGCTGGGGCAGGAACTGGTCATCAATGACAAGTCTAGATATTTTGTAGCCTAATGAAATAGAAAAGTAGGTTTTTTATTTTAAATATTTTTTACTGTTAGGCATTCTGTATTTGCATGTACATGATTTTAAAAGGAACATTGCTGTATGTTTGCAATATGATTTGTTTTGATTTTTAACAGCTAAGTATTTACTAAGTTTTGTCTATTATGTACAATAACATAATGTAAATTAACGTTCCTCTTTCAGCTTGTGATGAGGTTTCATGTGTTATGGAGAACCTTGCATTTTTCAGATC